ATTGAAGCCGTCGCTGTCGTCGTCGTCGTCGTCGTCGTCGTCGTCGTCGTCGTCGTCGCTACCGTCGTCTACAAGGACTCGCTCTCACATCCAGATGCTCACAGACAGACAGATCCTCAGCGAGACGTGACAGGAACACGAGATATGGGGATCTCCGCGTCGAGTATTTTTTCGTCCCAGATCCACTTTCGATGGTCCCGCAGCCCTGTAACAGGCCCCTGAGGCCGGAATCGAAGAAATGTGCCAGGCCGAAGAAATCATATCGTCGGAGATTTTGGGATGTGGAGGCGTCTGGTCCCGCGCGGAGCAGGACGTCGTTTCGGTTCGCCCGTTGAGGCAAGACCTTCGGCGTGTTTGTGATCACGGGCTGCAAGGATGCAGGCTCTCAAAATGGGGCTGCAGTTGCTGGGGTCGGAGGATCGCGCCGCATCGCCGATGCATCAGGAATGCGGCTCGGTGTGGAGCCCGATTTTCACCACGCCGACGGCGCCGACGCATCGCCCATGCGGCGCGACCCTCCGACGCTACTTCTTTCGGGTGTTCGATCATGGACCCCTTTGTTGAGAGCGACCCTCCGGCCTTCGCGCCGAACACCGCTGGAGGCCGCCGACGGCCGCAGGAGACCGCCGAGGACCGCCAAAGAGAGGGCCGCCGGAGGCCGCCGAAGGCCGTCCGAAGCCCGGCGAAGGCCGCCGCAGGCGGCCCGGGGCCGACTGGGCAGCGAGGGGTCCATGGTCGAGCACGTGCCCGTCGGTCGCTGAAAGTGGGTGTCTCTCTGGATTTTCGGATCCCAATCTGCGTTGGGCGCCCTCCCATTTTATTGGGCTGGCCTCCGGCCAGTGCCGCCGATCCGGGGGGGGTGAGAGCGAGAGTCCCAGGATCCTGGGGCCCTCTTGCATTGTCTAGGGGGCCTCTGGGGCCTTTCTTGGCTTCCTCTGGAGCTGTCTTGGGCGGTCGGGGCTCCAGAAGCGGAGTTTTCTATACCCCCCTGTCCCCGGGTACCGAAAAACGTCGGAAATGACGTCGGAAATATCCCCGGGTACCGAAAAACGTCGGAAATGACGTCGGAAATAACGTACGCCCCCCCCCCCTGCAGAGCGAAGCTTGAGCGAGCTCAAGTCCACGCTCTCAGAAACTCACACGCCGGATCGGCGGATTTCAAGGAGGGAGCGGCTGCCTGCTTCCCTCCTCTTCGGGGGGGCGGGGAGGAGCCCTATCTACTTCCAGCGCCTTCCTGCCTCGTGCCTCCACCGCGCCGCCCAGTGGCTCCCAGCCCGCGCCTGCCGGCGCCAACGGCTCCCTCCTGCCCTGGCCTCCCTGGCTTCTTCTCCTTCGCCTCCGTGCCGTGGCCTCGGGACCCCGCCCTGACCTCCCTGGCCACCCCCTCGGGGGCTCGGGACCTGCATGCGCTTCTCGGTGCATTGCGCGGCACCTCTGCGCAGGGGCCGTGCCGATCTCCTCCTCCTCCTCCTCCTCCTCCTCCTCCTCCTCCTCCTCCTCCTCCTCCTCCTCCTCCTCCTCCTCCTCCTCCTCCTCCTCCTCCTCCTCCTCCTCCTCCTCCTCCTCCTCCTCCTCCTCCTCCTCCTCCTCCTCCTACTCTTCCTCCTCCTGGCACCTCTGCGCGGGGGCCGTGCCGACCTCCTCTGCAGGCCAGGGCCCGCCCGTCGGCCTCCGGCGCCCTCCAACGCCCTCCCTTCCGACCGACGGGCAGCTTGGTCCGTCACCCCTCGGGGGGGGCCTCCGAAGGAGCGCCGGGGGTGCGTGGCCGCGGCCTCTCGATCCGCGGCGGGGCTGCGGGGCCACATCGACATGGTCAACTTCCTGGAGCGCTTCCGCTCCCTCTGGGCGGCGTCCAGGAGCCTGCGCCTGCAGAGGAGCGACGAGGCCGGCTTCGGGAGGGCCGAGTGAGAGGACAGCATCGGGGGCGAGGATGGGGGCGAGTAGCCCGGGGGCAGCAGTGCATTTATCCAGGGGCGCCGATGGTCCATGCCTTCGGCGAGGCTCCCAGGTGTACACGTGTAATGCCCGCCCCTGCGCTCTTCGCCCCCGTCGTCGCCACCGTAAAACTGCATAAGCATAAACTTTCGGAGCTCTGGGCGGATTTCTTGAGTCGGCGCTGGGGCCCCCCTGGCGCCGCCCTCTGGCGGTGCCTCTGGTGCCAACTCCTGGCGGCGCCTCTGGCGCCGCCCCTGGCGCGCTCCGCGCGCCAGGGAGGGGGGTGCAGAAGCCGATCCGAGAAAGCCGAGCGGACCTCCGACAGTTAATGTTTTCGCAGTTGTTCCTTTTAAAGGAAGAGCGAGAGAGGACGGGGAGAATGAGGAAGCGGAGCAAAAGGATGAGGATGAGGATGGAGAAGGGGGAGGGAGGTGTAGGACTGGGGGGGCGAGGCCGACACCATGGAGGTCAATGCGTACCTGAGCTATCTCATGGACGCCAAGCCGGTGTAGTAAGCGAGCGCTTTGCTGCTTCCCCCCTCCATCGCTCCCCCATCCTTCCTCCCCTTTCTTCCTCCCCTCTTGGAAGCCCTCAAGCCACTTCGGCCCGAGCACCAAGTCCTCTCCCCCCGTGGAGAGGCCGCGTGATTTGGGCCGCCTCGGTGCCTCCCCGTGGCGCTTGAGGGACAGCTCTAGTAGAGGGTACAGTCCAGCCCTTTCACTTTTGCTGACGAAAGCCGAGATGTCTTTCGCAGGTCCGAGGCTCTGGTCGACATGTCAATCTTGCGGGACGCAGGAATACAATGATCGATTGATTAGTCGTGGCCAGCTATGTACTTGCGGAAAGAAAGTCAAGCTCTACAAGGGCAAGAAGCAGCCACAGGTTCCAACTGGAGGTTCCGCAGGAGGGGTTCCAAAGAGCGCTCTTCGCAAGCAGGTTACCTTTGCAGTTGGTGAGAAGCCTGATGGCGGGTCTCGTTCCTCCACGCCTGGCCATTCCCCTCGAGGATCAGTTGGGCAGCAGAAGGGACAGGATATTCTTTATGGTCATTTGCAGGCGGCGCTTAAGGCAGCCACCGATCCTGATCTTCGTTCTTCCCTGGAGATGCAGCTCAAGAAGCTCAAGATGTCTGCCTCTGCTTCGGGTACCAACGTGGTGCTGGCCATGCAGCAGGCAGACGGGGCTTGGAGAGATGCCAAGAATCGCCATCAGCAAGCGGTCACTTCAGTGATGAGATTGGAGAAGAATCTTGAGGCTGCACGCGAGAAAGAATCCAGGCTGGCTCGTGAAGTTGCGGAAGCCACATTAGTGCGGGCTCAGGCTGCTTCTGCGGTCGCCAAGCTCGAGGGCGTCAACACTGCGCGTGGTGACCCCGGAGGCGGCGAGCCAGCGGACAAGAAGCCGTTCGACATTGTGTGGGACCAGGAACTTTTCGCTAACTTAGAGGAGCTCGAGTGCGAGCCGCATGAACGGGACACACTCAAGAAATGCCTGGAAGAGTTGCAGGCGCAGAAGGCCACGCTGTCTTCGAAGGCCGACGAGGTCACGAAGCTAGTTGAGCGGGCAAGGTCTACGAGAGCCACCATCTCCGAGAGGTTGGCCAAGAAGCGTCGCAACGCTGATGATGACGTACCTGGTGGTGCACCGTCGGGTCATGCTCAACCAGATGCAGCGCCAGTGCCGTCGCCGACGACGGAGCAGACCCAGAAGCAGCAGGAGGACTACGCCGCCAAGGTGGCCGCTGAGGCGGAGCGCATCTCCGCCGCGCAGTTCGAGGCGCAGCGGGTTGCGGCGCAGGCGGCGCTGCCTTCTGAGGGCTCTGCTGGTGCATCTTGACTAGGGACCTCGAGGTCCCTGGGCGCGGCGACTTTCAAGCCGCGCGAGCGCCCTGCTCTGCCTGAGTTCTCCACCGTATTGTTCGGGAATGTTACGTCCATGGGCGATAAGGTTTGGGATTTTGTCTCAGCTGGTTTGCAGGATAAGTCGTTCGATGTAGTAGCGTTAGCAGAGACTCATGTTTCACGGTCTGCCCTTCCCCCGTGGCAGAAGAACGCTCGGAGAGATAAGATTCGAATGCGCGCGAATCCAGCTCGCAAAACTGGTCGAGCGGTCACGATTGCTGGACAGGAACGCGACACTGAGGGTGGTGAGTGGATTTTGATGCCTGGACACAGGCAAGCACATTCTTTGAGCCATCAGTTAGATCGGGTCCAGGAGTTTCAGTTTGACGGGCAGCTCACGGTTGATGGTTTCGCTGCTGTACATATATATATGACTGGTTACTCGTATGTGCTAGTCTCTTTTTACGCTTATACTTCTGTAGGCATGGCTAGTTCCAACATACAACGTTTTGCTAAGCTCGGGGCGTTTTTGGCGGCGTTGAAGCTCCCTTGGGTTCTCCTTGGGGACTTTAACATGTCGGCTAGCGTATTGGGAAAGGCTGGCTTTTTCGCGCGTGTAGGGGGGCAACCAGTGCTTCCAGCTACTGAATATACATGCAATGCGAGCAAGTCGGGCACGACCATAGATTTCGCGGTCATCAGTGCCGCCGCCGCCCCATATTTTCACTCAATCGAGCCTCTTTTTCGGGTCCCCTGGAAGACCCGCTGTGGTCTTAAGCTTCTGATGCGTTCCTCGGGCAAGCAATTGGTCCAACGGGCCCTGGTTCTGCCGTCAAAGCTGCCCCGGGTCTCCAGGCCCACGACTCGGCCCACAGCTGGCTCGAAGTCGCAAGTAGCTAAAGCTCAGCGAAGGGTCAAACAGGCTACCTTCGCGGAGCGGCGTGATGAATATTACAGCAAGCTTTTTTCGGACGCTTGGTCACGAGAGGATCGTGAGCGGCAGGCGGCGAGATAAGTTATCGCACCTCACGACTTGGATGCACTGTCTGATGCGCCCTCAGAAGAGGACCCGTGGGCGCACGAGCTCAACTTTATTGACGATCGTCATTCGACGTCGCTAGGAGGTCAAGTACCCTCGGCTCCGTTTGGAGAAGAAGAGGAAAGATCTTCTGGCGAGGCAGATCAGGGCCGACCTGGCCAGCACGGCGTGCCCATCATGGGCGGGCGATTTCATTTGCCGCATTATGCTCAGTCAATCGCTTGGGGCAATGTTGGTGAAGATCGCACATCGTCGTCTCAGAGCCTTACAGGTCACCCTTCCGACGTTCGTGTTGAGCCGCCCCCCTCAGGTACAGATGAAGGAGCCGAACCTAGTGTGCCGTTTTGCATTGCCGACGAGACGTGGGTGAATGCTCGCGCTCAAGTCGGACTGCAGTCGCCCCCGCTCCCTGCTCCTGCCTTTGCTTCGTCAGTAGCTGCTAGGCTCGGATCCGATTTTGTGAGCCCAGTTTCAGCCCTTTACGGTTCATGGGTGAAGGCAGTGGAGACGACGGTGTGCGATCATCACGGCATTACTCAATTGCCAGGTATTTCTCGCTCGCAAGGATATTCTTTTGTTGTCCAGGAGGTTCGAGCCCCCATCAAAGCAAGAGTTTCCCCCTACAGCAATATTGTTGCAACCTGGTGGGAACAGTTGGCGGTGGTCTTGGAACGGATTCAGGGACACAGGTCTAGAGGGAACGGGGTTGTACAGAGAGAGCAGTTGAGATTTTCGATTCGTCATCTGTTAGAAGAGGCCCCAGACAAGGCCCACACGGGCATTCGTGTTGGGTCCGAGCCATCTTGGGAAGCTTGGTCTCAGCTGCTGCAAAGAGGAGCCACAGTGTCAGCCGCCATTCTTCAGAAGTTTGTAGCTGCGGCACAGAAGATAGCTCTTCGCACCAGGCGGAGAGCTCTTCGCTCTTCGCTGGATAGTTTCAAGGATTGGTTTATGACCAAAGAGGCTGAGGGGCCATTGCATCGATCTATGAGGGCTGACCCTGCGGTGTCTGATGAGTTGATCTCGGAAACTTCGGTTTACTGCAATCCCCTTGATATGGTGGATCAGAAAGCTCAGCCATTTATCAAGTTGTGGGCCCCTCATCCTCTGCAGGAGGAATCAGTTTGTCAGGCTTTTGCCGATGTGCGCGCTGCTGCAGTCCTTGAGCCGTTGGAACCGCTGGACGTAGCAGGTATTCGTGCAGCGGCGCATGCCATGAAGCCTCGCGCAGGTTTGGGAGTAGACGTGCTCACACCGCTGGATTTCGAGCGTTTACCTGATTTGGCTCTGGACGAGCTTCGGGCCTTGTACGCTGTTGTGGAAGAAACCCTGGTTTGGCCTTCCCAGGTTTCCCTTGCTCTTGGCCGTCTTTTGCCAAACAAATCGAAGGGGGATCGTGTAATCGGTGTCTTGAGCATGTGCACTCGTGTTTGGTCTAAGGCCAGGGAGCCAATAGTCCAGGCATGGAGTCAGGCCAACGAGCCTGCCTGGGACGCTGCCGTCAAAGGCAACGGGGCCCTGTTGGAAGCTTTTTCTCGTGTATTAGAAGATGAAATCACTGGGGCCCTGGGAATTCCTTCGGGGGAAGGTTTACTCGACGTGGAAGGATATTATGACTCTATTGAGTGGGTGGTGCTTATCAGGACGGCATTGCGTCTAGGCTTTCCTCCAACCATTCTTTACTTAGAGTTATTGCTCTGCGTGTGCCCGCGCACTTTGGGCCAGAGTGGATCCTACGCCGAACCCTTTTGCCCGACTCGTTCCATTATCCAGGGACTGCGTTCTGGTACTAGATTTGCGCGTTGTATGGTGTTTTTTTATCCTGCTTCGCATTACTACGACCCATGTAAACATGACTACCCGAATATGGATTGATGATTTGTCTCAGAGAGTGGTGGGATCCAGGGCCAGCATTCGGCGTGATTTGTATCGTGGATTGTTGGAAACCTGTCGTGGTCTCGCTGAGGTACAACTTCGTGTTTCACCCAAGTCTGTTATTGTATGTTCGCATATCCCTGATGCGAAGGCCATTGCCAAACGGTTGACCAGAGCGGGTTATTCAGTTACAGCAGTGGCCCAGGCGGGATATTTAGGTACTGACTTGGGAGGAGGAAGGAGGCATGCTCGAAGCAATAGGTCCAAGCGAGTAGTCAAGGGTGTTGCTATGCATTCTCGTGTTCTTCGGTTTGCTCGTGCGACCCGCAAGTACGCTGTCACTGCCAAGCTCGAGAGAGCAGGCACCTTTGCTGCGCAACTGTATGCCCATCAGATACATGGAGTTTTTGGATCGTCCATGATTCGTTGCCGTCGCCAAATGGGGGCTATATGTGGGTCTGGAAAGAAAGGTCGCTGTCTAACCACTTTGCTGGACCTTAGGAGTCCTCAAGGTGACCCTGCTGTTTATTTTCCTCGGTTATGTTGTGAGTTTTGGATGCGGCAATGGATCTTGCGACCCGCCATTCGCGCTGGAGTTAGGCGTGCCTGGCCATATATGCTGCAGACGTTTCGGCGAGTTTTGCCGCAGCATCGTTCTAGACACGTGCGAGGGCCTATGGGGGCCGTTATGCTGTATTTATTGGAAGCCGGATGGGACCCTGTTGCACCAGATCATTGGATTGCCCCGCCAGATTTTCCTGGAGATTTGGAGGCCTGGAAGTTTCCTGAGGAAGGGCTGTCGGGGAACCT